CTTCGTCATTTGGATTGGCTACTCCAGCAGGGTATTTACCTCGCTATACCTTCTGTTTTCAGGAATAGATCAGTTTGTGAAAAGCAGACTGTTGAATTTGCGTATCTTTTCTGAAATTTAAGAGCGTATAATTCATCTTACTGTACAATAACTTTGTAAAGTTGAGAAGTATATGGTTTTCTTCAAAGCAAACATTTGAATCTCATAGCTATTATGTGAGGCATGAGGTCCGTCAACTTTACAATACCAGGCCCTTCCATTTGTTGGGGCAGTGTGCCCCTCTGGATCGCACTTTGTGGAAAGTGTCAACCGAAACGTCTCACTAATATTTCCATTTAATCTAGATCGGTTATGGATCATTACAGAATCCCTACAAAGAAGGTGATACTGGGCAGAGCATCCGAGTTGATGGCAGCCGTGACGTTTCGAGAGCCAAGGGATATTTTAATACCGTCTTGGGTAGGTTTCCAAAAAAAAAAAAAATTTAGAATTTGCAGAACTTGGCCCCCGAACTCGCTGAGCACAAGCGATCCTGAATGTACCTTATTTTTCGGAAACTACAATAGTTCGATTTTCCTGTGGCAGAAATGAAAAACAAACTACTTCAGTAGACTGAATAGGCCTATGTACCTCTAGAACAGCTCAGAGATATGGCAAGCAGCCCAATTCGCTGCCAACAATGAATCATAAGAAAAGGCACGGTCAGAACGAGATGGTTCTCATTCTGAACAAAAGTACATTATCAAAAGACTTTTATAGATAAAATAAATAGTCCAACTAAAACACGTCTTATTATTAAAGAACTTTTGTGTGTGGCACGCTTTTCTTGGGTGTGACATGTCTTACTTATAGACAATTATTCCATAGTTTTACCACTCACACGGAGAAACGAGGAAATGCTCAGCAACGTTGCAAATATCCTAGTAGGCCTATGGAGTTGAGGTAGTCGTTTAGAACTGCACACCCAGAATAGATAGCTAACTCAATTTTCTCGAAAACATTTTTTTGATTAATCTTCAATTACTCATGAAAATTGACACAGAATCCGAGGTATATTTATGGATCAGTAGCACTCTGACATCTTGTATATCATCATCCTCCTACCTCATTTTTCATCATTGTTCCCACTGTTTTCTAATGTTTCATTTAATTATTGTCCAGTTCTGGAGCACGCGTTACCTCGAAAATATTATGGGGGAAGCAAGGGGGTTTGGGCCTTCATAAATTTGGCGCCTACGAAACCGACCTTTAGTTGAGAGCGAGCAGATTAGATTGCTGTCATTGTACCCACGAGCGGAGAGTTTTGCTGTAGGCTGAAATACGAGTAGTTTGAGATGCAATATAAAAAACAACTTCACGTGACTTTCATAAATGCGTCTATGCTATGTTGCAGCACCACTAGTTTTGCATGATTACGTATCGCAGGAATCACATGATTGCATGATTCCTTCTATTAGGGCTACTTAAAGATCCTAACTAAAGTATTAACCTCGCTATAACATCGCAAAAATAAACTTCTGCTGTGCATACCATAATGTAACTAAAGTCGCTAACGACCCAGCAGTCAATGCGGCTATAAATAAATGAAGGAAAAAAAACATCACAATTATAGTAGACATTTAACGTAACACTTCAACTCAAAATCCTGAGCGGGCGGAATGGCGCCTAGTCTCGGATCGCCGTCGCTGCTTTTCTATCAGCGGTCGCCGCCGCTGTCGCGTGGAACACCACGCCTGGCGGAACCGAGAGCAGAGGCGCCGGGGCGCTCGTTTCACTGTTCCCCCGAGAGCGCCCCACCCCCTTCCGGCTGCGTGCCCCCGCACGGAACACTCCCTCATCCAGAGCAGTGGGCCAGTGGGGACACGTTCTCTTTTGACCTCACGTTCTGAGGGAGGGAATCGCATAATCAACGCTGAACGCATATTCATAACTGAACCGCACACGAAAAAAATAAATTTCCGGTGTGTGTACCTTAAAATTTTGAATGCCTGCATTGCCCTCTCAGTGATTTTATTATCGACCTCGATAGTTACCAACGTCTCTTTCCTTATTGAAGATGCCTCTATTCCTTCGACATCGATATGAAAGTTTGATGCTTTTCCCGTGTGAGACCGACTTAGGAGGGGCTTAGGACCACAAACGATGTCACTGCAGTTTCTCTGGATGGAAGGGCCTAAGGGTTCCACCCCCGATTGTGGAAGAATTTTCGACACTGCATAGCTAGGTCGACTTCAGCCGCTGTCTGGAGGAGAAATTAGCGGCTGGCTGATCTGATCGATAAGTTTTCGTGTTTTTTTATCAATCCAAGACGAATAGCGGTTCAGTACCCAAACGGGTACGCGTCACGAACCTCGCGCGATCTTTCCTTCCTCTTCCTTATTCTATCCTCACCCCTTCTTACACACATACATGCGCTCTACCGTCACACCTGCCGGGAGACCAGTCGATAGCTTAGACTTTGTCCCGGTTGGGTTGTGTCCCGCTGGTTGGAGATACCTGGTTGGGGAAAACCCTCTAGCCGGACGGTAGGTCGACGTTGGATCTCGCTATACACAGCGAAAAGCACACACTACACTTACGGGACTTATGACATAAGCCGTTGACGCGCATGGAATCATGAATCAATCATGCAAACAATCCAGAGTGAGGAGCACATTCACGGGCGCCTACAGCGAGGCGTTGGTTGGGCCGTTTCACAGCTTCCAGAAGCCACGCCCCGTTGCCTTCGCCCAGAGAGCTCGGAGAGAGGAACAGCTCCTCTGACACTCCAGAGACATGTTCCGCCGTCAAGGTGCTTTTCTCCAAGCGGTATATCTATTGTTCTTTTCATTGCTTTAACATTTTTCTTTACATTTCTTGCGAATTCGAATGTATGTTCAACGGCTTTTCTTTCGCCCTAATCATTCTGATTGTCTCCCTAACGAAAGAGACCACATTAAGTCACGGAATAGGGGCGATGGTGTGCTTGGTGGGAAAGTTAGAACAAATAATACGCTAAAGAGACGCGGGGATCGCGGGCGGTAATGAAATTACTTCCATTTTACACATTGATATATAGATTAGGAATTCCTTTTCGTGTCCAATAGATTGTTATAAGTACACTGCACTACCGCGTACTTCAATTAATGCAATCGAATATAGAACGGAGGTATTAGTTTGGTTATGCAGACGAAAGACCAAGCCTTCCTTTCCGACATATTACCTCCACATTCAAATCCACCAATCCGACAACATTCGATTGCGTGATCTCGCACATAAACAGAACGCAACTCAATGTTGCCCTGCATTCAATATTCATAAAACAAGTAGAATAAGTAATTATATTTATTGAGAATTATTTGTATTGTTATTAATTTTCAGTGAATTAAAAATAGGCAGTCTTAAAGATCGATAGTATATCTGAAGTAGATTGCCAACATCATAGACGAATGTAAAAACTATCGAGAAGGTCGCAGTATTGCAAACGAGATATTAAATTTCTGTGACCTACAGAATGGCAGCTTTTCCTGTCACTTTCTGCAGCACAATGGTAACGTGACTTCTGGACCACAGCCAGTTTCCCCAGCCCCCAGCTTTGCGAGAAAAATCTCAGTGAAAACTAGGCGCTGTGTTTTATCTTGCTGCAAATAAGAAGCGTATTACTCAAAATACAAAACTATACTTTTCCGCAGCAAACTATTTCTTATAAACATCCTCTTCTCCGGCTTTCCTCTAGCCGTAACTGAACTAAGAGAGACAAATTCATTTGATACTCTCGAATTAGAACATTTAATGGCGTTACATTACCCTACATACGACGACTACGTATGAAATATGGCGACTCTGCACGTTTTTTAAGAATCCTTATTCACAAAACCACAAAAATTAGCTACTGCTTGATAGGAAATTACTTCTCAACGGTGCATCAATATAATGTAAGCAAGGATGAATTAATATCAGGTATTAATATCCTATACGCTGGAACCACATTGTGTTTAAATATAAATGGGAAGTTAACCCAAGACATTCCCATAAATAAAGGAGTAAGGCAAGGTTGCAACCTCTCGCCAACAATTTTTAATATTTCATACACGAATGTTCACAGTGTAGTTCAGGTAGATGAAGGAATTCATCTAGAGATGAAGGCATTCGTGTGATTTACTCTATGTTATGCTAAAGATCAAGTTATCTTTCAAGATAGTGAAGACACATACGCGGTACACATTTTAGATTTTAAAGGAATTTAAGGAATTTTTTTAGATAAGGAATTTAAAAAATAAAGCACTTAAAGATATTATTGCCATTCCTGTACGGAAATCACTTCCTGTGTGGAAGTGGATCGAGAGTAATCTCGGAAAGAGGTAAAAGTTGAATTCAGGCGGCAGAAATGAAATTTTTACGAAGTCCTCTACGATACACTTCCCTAGATAAAAAGAGCAATGTGGATAAAAGAAAAGAGTTGAATGTCACACTTGTGTTAAAGTATACACTAATGAGAATAAATAGTGCGAACAGTTGGAAAGAATGTCAAATGAGAGATTGTCAGCATTAGCTCCTATCCCTCAAGGAGAAGAGATGTAGACAGACCAAAGAAAAAGTGGAGACCGGAATAGGTTGAAGATTAATCCTTGTTGGAAGAAGAAGAAGAAGAAGAAGAAGAAGAAGAAGAAGAAGCAGAAGCAGAAGAAGAAGCAGAAAAAGAGGAAGAAGAAAAAGAGGAAGAAGAAAATGAAAAAGATGATGAACAGTGCATCAAAGAAATATAAGACGAAAATACAAAATGTAGATTACTGATCAAATAAGTGCAGAACTTCAAAATACAAATATATTAAATTCACAACAAGATAATCTACGTAATTTAACCGCACAGATTTGAGACTTATTAAATGCTGACATTACACAAAGTTCAGCGACTGACTTTCAAAGATCCAGAATATACCTATATTCATTTTCAAATAATAACAATATCAATAACATCAATAATAATAATAACAAAAAAATCCTCGATTCTACAATACATTATGGCAGTATCAATTATGAGAGAAAACCGTGATAAAACTACTGCAATCCATCCAGCTCCGCATTCCCAGGTACTTCAAAAAGAAAGTGAAGAATCCGACCACGGAGAGGAGTGGAACACCTCCAACCACACATGGATACATTTGAAGCCTTCCAAAGAGGAGACAGAAGGGAATATCTTAAAAGCAAAGTATTCCCTCTTCCGTGTACATGTTTGGCTCTCCACCTGGAGCGTTTGCAGTCTAAGTGCGCCCACCACTCACGCCCTCGGCCGGCTGAAGAGTATGCGTCACTCCTCTTCGCCCCTCCCCGCCCGCTCCCTCCCGCCCGCCCCCCGCCCCGCCCCGCCGCCCCGCCCCGCCCCGTTGCGTCCCGCTCCGCTTCCGCCCTCGCGTCGCCCCGCCCCGCTCCTCCCCGCCCCGCCCACATAACTGAGCCCCGCTTCGTCCCACTCCGCTCCGCCACGACCCCTCCAAGCCTCACACAGCCCACTAAGCCCCGCCACATGCACGCATGCCTCACCAGCTCGCTCGCTTTCCCTCGAACAACCCCGCTTCCAGCCGCGCCCCCCCCCGCCCCGCCCCGCCCCGCTCAGTCCCTCTTTCCCCCGCTTCGCACAACCCTGTCCAGCCTCGCACAGCCCCGCTCCGCCCAGCTCCGCACCCTACCACACAACCCCGCTCCGCTCCGCCTCGCTCTACTTCACCCTGCTCCGCACCATTCCCCGCGACGCCCACTCCGCTCCGCCCCGCACAGCCAGGCTTCGCTCCGCCCCACGCAGGCGTCTGCTGGTTGACCGGCCGGTCGGCCGGCTGGCTGGCGAGGCAGCACACAAAGAAAGGCGGCCCCCGCCCCGGAGGTTACCTTGACCGCCTCCAGAGAGCGGGCGCCAAAAGCGGACTCCCGTACTCCAAGGCCGGCGACCACGGAGGCTCCCGCCGCGGCCGCGGCGCTCGCCGACCAACGACCGAGCAACGAGACCGATGCAGGAGACAATGGCCGCGGCGCGGGCCCGGAACCCGAAAAGGGCGGAGCCGCTGCTGCCCCTTGTTCGAGAACCGAAAACGCCACATCAAAATATGGCATAAGCTTTGATCTGGTTCTTAGTAATTTCATGCACACATCAACATATCACTGCCAGATTTGCACTGTTGGGAGTGTTCTTGCGTAATGGGATAGCTCTTGTAGACAGGGGTGCCCAGCGAAAACTCGAGGCCCAAGGCAAAAGATCCACGTGTGCCCTTAATTTCACACAATAGTCTCCCCTCACCGTACCCAAACAGAATTAATCTCTCCTCGCAACATATCTTATTTTAAATTTAATTTGAATTAAGAGAGATACACAATTTTTATTTATTTTTAATCAAAACAAATCGGGGGTCTATTGATGGCGGGTACCGGTAACAAAGTATCACAGCTGTCCCTGTCTTCAAGGCCTATCATTTTGAAAAACATCGCAGCACTCTCCCCACTTCGCAAGAACATTCTCCACGTGGGCAGCGCAAATCAGGGGACAACAATATTTTGATGTGTGTATGACATTATTAATAAAGAGAACAAAGCTTTTCTGGGTGGACCTGGTTGTAGACAATTTATGAATTTTTAAATGTAGAGTGAAAAAATATAGTTTCATGTAATTAGTGTTGCAGCAATGCAAATTCTAGCACGTGCAATAGGTAGAATAACTGGGGTGGTTTATCATTAGTGCTGAAAGTTTATTTTGTTGGCTAGTTGTGCAAGTCCAATATTTTCACTACACAGGATGTGCACTTATTTCTTCACAATTTGATAGTATGCGCTACTTGTAAAATAAGTTCATGTATTTAGTTATTAGTGAAGGGTACGTTAAAATTGTAAATATTAGCGCGCCTCCAATTTTCTTGATTTATATTTGATCCTGTATTTCGAGAGATTAGCTAGTTTTGTAAATATATAACTTAGTATCTTAAATTCAGACCGCAGTGTGTTTATTTTCATCATTCACGCATTCATTCATCATTTTCTATTTTGTAAATTATATTATTTCATTAGCAAAAATTATTAATTCAGGGTTTAACCGATTTTTCGTTCCCTACAATATGCGTTTTCAATCGAAATACCACATATTTTAAGATACTGCAAAGTCAAAGGCGAAATCGGAGCCTGGCCCGGGCGACCGGCCCTGTACCATGTGCAACATGTACATAAGCATCATTTATATTATGTGCAACATAAGCATCATATAAATAATATTTTACTGAAATCACTAAAAATGTCTCTCACGCATGTGACAACATACAGGGCCCCGGTCGGAATTTTCTTTTGCACACGCCCCAATAACCCGGCATTCAAATTAGTGACAGCCGCCTGTACACATACGACAACCCAGAGCGCGTCGGCTGGTACTCTAATGAACAAGTCCCTCCACGACAAGAGCAATACGGTTCCAGGGCCAACACTTTGGCTCAGTAACGCATCCCCCCCCTTGCGCGAATTCGAGCGACCAGGTGCAGAAATACATGGCGTGCGAGGGTGCTGCCGTTTCGGGTTTCTCTCTACACACCGCCGTGCGACAGCACGTATCACAAGTTCGTATACGTTGGCACCGAGACGAAAAGAAATAGAAAACCGATACGGCAAAGTCTGTGCCATGCTGTAGCACCACTATTTTATCATTGTACTACGTAATACTAATTTTAAAGAGGGGAAACTAATGCAAAAGTAAACTATCAGAACGCAATTTTTGTTCATAATTCATAAACTGTCAACTTTCTAGCTTAATTTAACTTTTATTACAAATAATAATATAATAATTATATTTTTTGCTTATTTGCAGGTGTTCGTGTATTCCCAGCAAATATTCCGCAATCTAAAACAGCGACTGAAGACACAAGGTGCCACAGAGTTGTCAAATTCTGACCTGGCAAGTTTCTTCTCTCCATGGTATGCAGAACATATAGGCCGCATCCAGTCGGCAAGTGGCAATGCTACTGTAGAAGCATGGGCAGCACGCGAATTGAGGGTGCATTATTATTTTTATGCTTATCAGAATCTTCTGAAGTTAAATGGCAATGCAAAATTACTACGTGTTCTCGACGGTCTGTTGGGCAATGAAGCCCTTCTCCAGTTGGATTTAAGGACTTTAGTACCTGCTTTCAAAGATCCCACGAAAAGACAATGGTTTCAGGAAGTAGTAGACAATTACCTCAAATTGTGGGAAGTTAACATGTGATCATTGATACTATGAAGGTGAATGTTAAAAGTTGAGAAGATTCAAAATGAGCATCTGAAAGATGTTTGCCTACCGCACTTCAGAAGCTTATTCAACTATCAATATTCAATACTATCAGAATGAAGTGTGTACGCAACCTGCTGAGAAAAGCACAACATTGAAACAATAGAAAAACAAGTACAAATGAAGTAGAACTTAAAAATGTCTGCTTCAGTTATACGTTGTGACTCACTACATCTTTGCAAATGGAACATTCCGAATATTCGAAACCTGCATACAGCATTGGTGTAGTGGCAAGACGTGAATATCTGGGAAGATGTAGATGTCACAATGCGAAAGGTCTTTCTTCACGGCCTTAACGGCTAAGAAAAGGTCTTAGAAAGTTCTAATAAGAAGTCTGAGTCATGATGAGTGCCTTACGAATTATCATTGTTGTATGTGTTCAAGAATTCAGGCACCACACATGAACGTAAAGTTTTAAGTTGTTCAACATGCCACACACAAAATTTCACATCTTCATGTGTAGAGACATCTAGATATTTTCATACAGACTAGTATTGTGTATTTATATTATCTTATTGGAGAAGCAGCAGAACAACTACACCAGATAAACATTGTCTGTGATAAAATTGGTGCATTTCTCTCTTTAAAAGTGAACTTCACGGTGTGCCTTAGAGTTAAAATTATTTGCAAGACAATGAAAAACTCAAAGATGGTGACAAGAATTTGCCAGTAAAACCAAATTGTGTGTTGTTCCTATAGAGTAATACAGTAAATACCATTTGTAAATTGCGATGGATAAAATTCCATTACAATACAAACCAATGTAAAAATGGAGATGAACTTCCATTATTCATACATTGTATTTGCTGTGCAAATAAAACCATAAGCAGAAAAATAAGTACAGGGTAGCTGTCTCAAAACTTCCTAATACCTGTTTGTGTTTATTCTCTTGAGCCTTTCTTCGTATGGAGAAAAAAATTTAAACACCTTTTTCAGAAAAAGGCGTTTTGAACGTTTCTAAAAATGTGAAAGTGTGAGTTCATTTTCCCAGAATACTTTTGATTTTTCGAGAACTTTTATCATTTAAATTAATCATTTAAATCACATGTATTCATAAATGAAATAATGTGAACAAAGCACGGCAAATGCGAATATTAATGTCCTGAGAGAGACATCAAAGAAAGTAAATTTTTGTAATCGAGAGGCAGCGAGAGGGCGAGAGAGCGCCAGACGAGCAAAATAGCGTTTATGTCATATTATAGAGTAACATTTAACACTATACCTATCAAAATTATAAAGAAAAACTTTGGAGCCGTTTTCAAGAAATTCTTGTTTTTGTTGTTTTAATATTGCACATATTGCACGCAATATGTGCATTGCTTGAAAAAGAACTTAAATTTTTAAAAAATGTGCATGATGTTAATCAAAGAACTAAATATGGAGACAACATTTTACTTGAACGAAAATATCTCTATCTTAAATTTTATAATTGTAGAAAGACGCCGAAAAAATTTAAAACGTTTGAATTTTCAAGAATTCAGAGTTAACAGTGAAAATCGGATCTATGCAAGTGCTTTTACTCTATTCTTACAATAAATTTAAAGAAAATTTTGGAGCCGTTTTTGAGAAAATTTCGAAATGACCCAGGGGCTTCATGTAAAGTACCCTTCATGTAATGTTCTTCAAAATCGCAGAACTTCGAGTGAGGCCAAATCGACATGAACTTTTATATCTGTTGAAATCTCGAAATAGATTTTCCGCAGCATTACATGACTTTCTCTATACTACGTGTATTTCTCCATATATGCATACAGACTAGTATATACGAGAAAGTATGGTCTAAAATCTTTTGAATCTAATTGCTATTGATGCTTTTATATTACTATGAGATTTCAATGCCTCTCTAAACATCAATGCTTTGGGCAAGTATGTGCAAAGCTGACTCATTCATCGAAGCTACATGATGAATTTCCCGTACATCAAAGTAGATGAAGTACATCAAAGAATTTTAATTCATAAGGCAGCAACGAAGTAGTCTTTTTCATAGAAAATATGTCAAGGAGATGAGAATTTTAAAAAACACATTTGTGGAAGGGATAATACTATTTGTTTGATATTGATTGAATTATGTAAAATGTATTTTTTTTAAAATAATAGTAGGCAAGTTAAAAACATTCACAAATAATTCTAGTTATATTATTTAGGGTACGCTTCAGAAAAATGATTAGTGAACAAATTTCTGTTCAAAAATATGCATATTATGATGAGTTTTATTTAGTTCGTAGTCATAAACATTAGCCGTCCACGAAGAGGACTGCATATGGGAAGTTCTTGACGAGTTATGCAACCTAAGCACGAGCCGCCACTGCTAGTTAGACAAATGCCAATTTTCTGTAGCTCACAAATAATTGTTTTAAAGTAAAAATATGTTCATACTGGAACACTACTTTGAACGGCCAGATCCTAATCCGATTGTGATATCGTATAGGACAGTGCAGCGTGGACGCATATATTATAATATTGCTAAGCGTTTGTTGACGAAATATAATGAGACTATATTGTTTAGGATTTTAGAATGTGAATTGGGGACACGATGTTTAAAGCGCGACAATAATACGCGTTGCACTTATACAACTATAAGTATGAGTTATCGAAATTAGTTTACGTGCGAACATTTACTCATTGGAAATTGTTCCATCCATATTTTCAAAACATCAAGGCTGAACAAAATGAAACAAATAACGTATGTTATGGGCTAATAAACACGAAAACTCAAAAACGTCAGAAAAAATATGAAACCCTACACAAAATTGAAGGCTAATTAAAGCATAAGATGGACAGAAATAACGATTAGACTAATTGCTTAAAATAAATTTTTATTAGCAATTAATCACATCTGACTGGGCGAAAAGAATTTGCAGTTGTAAATCCAAAACTACGAGAGTATTTTCTACACATAAAATTATCGTGGAGTTGTCAATGTTCACCATCAGTGAACTATCTAGTCATGACTTCGAGTTTCTGCTCGCCTGCCTAAGTTGGCGACCATGTTTTGTAAAAAGGTTTCTTAAGACGCTATAAATGCAAATGTAATTTGTCTTTTGCGAATCATATTTTAAATGTTGGTTTGGCTCTCCACGTCGGTGACAATACATTTAACAAATAAATGTGTACATTGGCAAAGATGCCATAACGTGTGTAATCACAGAGTTGTTTGGTGCGCTTTGCAAACTTTTAGATAATTACGATTCAAACTTTAGTTTTTAGTAATTACGTCTGCCATTTGTTAAATGATTAAATTCAAAAACAATGTAATTACCCGAATAGTACCTTCCGTACTGGGAGTGCAAATCTGACGAACCTCCCCATTCAATGTATTAACATACAAATACATCAAGCTTACCACTTTGATGTTGCTCTGATCTTTCATGGTCTTGGCAGGCTAGTTTGGACCAAACAACATTACCACTCAGGGAGGTTGATTGATATAGTTATATTTGGTGGCAAATGGCAAAAGTAGAGACCACAGTACACCCTAGAGATGCGAAAAAAGGAAGGGGGTGGGAAAAAGTTGTGGGAGAGGGGAAGAGGTTGGGGAACGGACGAGGAATGGAAGTAAGGTTGCCTCCTTTTGCCCTACCTCTAAAATTACGAAAAGCGCTCTGAAATAAAGGAATACAACTCACCAAAACGCAATTTCTTCATGTTTCGTATAAATTGGAGACGACCCCTTGGAAAGGCAAGAACCTTTCATTTTATTCTGCTGCTTCTCGCGAATCACATCCTCTTCCGCATAGAACACTAACGCAGACGAATTATCCTTTTCTTATTACACTTCTTCTCTTTACACTTATTATCACATATTTCCTTCCACTTGACCAACCTCGTAGAACATGCATACAAAATACGAAAATCCTGACGTAATCAACTAACGATTTTGAGTCCATTGAATTACGGCCAAACACCCCTTTCGGCACCACACAAAGAACTTCTATTTACCTCATCGGAACACAAACACTCGACGATCAAATTAAAACACAAAGAATCAGAAGAGCGCAAGAAACGTAACTGTTTGGCGGAAACATACCTAATCACTTTGCCAGCTATCCCGACACTAATAAAATGAAAATAATACTGCAAAATTATCGCTAAGCAACTTTCACCTCAACGGGTTGAGTAGTACTGACGCTCCGGCAAGTTACTACGATGTAAAATGACGTAACCAAAAAAACAACCAATCGTGAAGCATTAAAATTATTTCAGCAAATTATTTATTTAATTTCATAACTTATTTGAATCGCCCACATCTGAAACCAGCCTGCTGAGCCTGCCATCATCTTGTTTGTTGACACATGCTGTTAGTAGACACCTGTTCTCTTCACTCCATAATAACTCTCCAAGCTTTAGGCGTCAGAAAATTAAGAGGAAAAAATAAATTTATTGAAACTCGACTACTCTCTTCATTTACCAAAAACACCATTTTTTCGGGTGAGAGCCAATTCTCCGATTTTGGAACGAATGGTCGGCGTCTAGTGTGAAGGAAAAAGAACACTGAGTTCCAGCTGCAGAATTTACTTCCAACCGTAAAACACGAATGTAGTTCGGTCTTAGTATGAGAGTGTACAAGTGCAAGTGGAGTCGGGAATTTGCACATCATATATTTTTTAATAAACCAATATGACTACATTGACATTTTAAGAAATAATTTTAGAGCCAGTGCTGTTTAAATGAATTTAGGATTATCCTACCTTTTCCAACAGAACAATGATCCTTAGCACACTGCTTTCAATACGAAATTTAGGTTATTGTATAATAAACAAAAACAACTGGACTCATCCTCCATCCCCGAACCTAGTAAATCTGATAGAACATTTATGGAGTTTTCTGGAGAAAAAAGATAGAAATTATATATATGGGAATTTCTGGAGAGAAAAAAATTAGAAAACTTGCAAATAAACCACAATTGACAGCGTTACGGGAAGAATGGAGAAATATTCCTCCTGAAATTGTGTAAAATTTTGTGAATTCCATTCCACTCAGACAAAGGGCAGTTATTCGAGCCAAGGAAAATCCCACAAAATATGATCATGTCTTCTTTTCAGCAAATGTACCTATTACAACTGTAAATCTGTACAAAGACATTTTGCCCACATTTCGTAGCAGTGTTTCTTGTCTTCATCAATACCGAAGTATTTGTTTGGCTTTGTGAAACTATTTTTTGTGGAAATACAAGAATAGCTTATTGTTGACAGGTTTGTTTTTTGTTGGGTTAAATCCCTCTGCAAAGTTTCCACAGACACAAAACAAAAATATTCGTGAGTGTCCACTCACTTTTTATACTAACTGTACATTGCTCACTACGTCCGCCCACCAAGAGATTCCCTCAAAACCACCTTACTATCCCTCAACCGTGAATGTCTAACAAATTTGCTTGAAATGAAATGAAATTGAACCTTATGAATAAATATAGAGGAACATTTCGGGAAGAACTGACATACTGAGACAAAGGAACAGAAATGGAATTTTTGGTTTAAAGGTCCTTTAAACCAAACACGGAAAATACAAAAAACTTCCGGGAAAGGTGGCTCAGGGCATCAACTGATGTCACTGCAGTGTCCCGACGGTGGCAGGAATTTCGACACTAGTTACATAGCTAGGTCGAATTCCGCCGCTGTCTGGAGAGAATTCCAGCGGCAGGCTATTCTGATCCGTTGTTTTCTGTGGGTTCTCCGATCACCACCAGCCAAATGCCGGAGTAGTCCCCTAACAAAACGGGCCACGGACCGCGCGCGATCTTTTCTTACTCTTCCTTGTCCTTTCCACGTTCTTTACTTACACAGTCGCAAGCGCTTAAATACCACACTTGTCTGGAACTTCACGCTTGTCCAGGCTGTGGCGGTCCCCTTGGTGGGAGATACTTTGGTGGGGAAAATCTCCTCTAACACACTCGGCCCCGGGGCTCATCTTCCAGCTGTAGAAAATCACAGCCGCTTCCCCTGCTAAAAGAAGCACTACACTTACGGGCCTACTGATCTTAGTGCCTGAGGCACCTGGTATCACTAATCAATCAATAAAAGAAGGTGAGCTTGGATTGAAAGTGTTTTAAAATTAGATATCTTAATAATCTGAAATATTTGGGGATGAATTCCTTAGCAATAACTGAAATATGTAAGTAGTAATGAAAAACTGTTATGAATATTCATTAGCAGATTTTGAAGAATATGTCTTTATTATAGTTTCATTAAAAATGTTACTACATTCAGATTCGTCTGTCCACATATTCAGGGTTGTTGCCATTAATCATCTTTCAAGCCCTGCCAACAAATTCCAGTCATTTTGTTCACGTTTGAGAGGATGAGACCTTTAGTTGATCAGAATGATGGGCGATTGCTTAACGAGGATTTAAAATATATTGTTCTTTTGGATATTAAATCCAGTTCCAAAAAATTTTGGTTATTACAAGACATGTTTGTTCAAAGAAGTTCCAAAACATGTAAGATCCAATTATAAAGTAATGTGAAATTTATTTGACTGATACCAAGTAAAATAAAACCATGCACTTTTTAATACAAAGTTTGAGTAAATAATACTAAATTACAACTGAAATCACAATTTACTTTGTAGTTTTGTTTGAAACAAGGTTGGTTGGGATTTTGAAAATTTCACTGAAAGTTTTAATAATGAAAAATGTATTTATTTTATTAATTTTAAATTAATACAAAGTGTAACAAATAATATGTCTTTGTTGAATAATACTGTTTAGAATATAATTAATGAACAAATTAGCTATGAATTAATACATATGTAATATTTAATTAACAGAAATGTTTGAGTAAAAACTTGAAAAAAAGGAAATATTTTCAACCAAGACATTTTTAATTTTTAAAAATATTATTAATTTTCTTCATTATTTAAAAAAATGTATAAATTATATTATTTACAAATTTTATTGGTTTGTAAGAAAACTTACATAAAGACATAGGAAACAATATGAGGTTTGTAATGCTAATTTACTTTCCCAGTCTATTTCATCGATTTATTCGTAATACAAGAATGACTGAGTAATCCCATACTACTTAGTTCAGAATTTACAAAATTTTAGGACGGTAGAAGCCAAATATAATTATCTAATATATAATATTATATTTAAAACAATAACCGAAGTAAAATTTTAATTATTTTTCTTTCCTCAACTTGATGTGAATATTAGATGTCCCACACATCATTTCCTGTTAAATAAACAAAATATTGTATTTTGATTGTTAGAATTTATAATGGTTCCCGCTATAATTTGTACAAACAAAAATCGTTCTTAACGCTTTGAAAAATTATAAAATTTAGAGCATCATCTTTATTCTCTCACACTCAGATTTTTACTTTCTATCAGTCATAAAGGGTTCCTGGCTTCTCTTTATTGGTGTGATAGTTCTGTTTCATTTCCACCAAAAGAAAATTAACAAAAATGTACATTTCTATTTTAATACAAACCTTTTTTCAGAAAACAGGATATGTCAGCATTTTAAAATTAATATTTGTAAATTAATTAACTGCTGTCAGAGCTTTAGATGACATTAATTAAGATGGAAACACCTAAGAAATGAAAGCACATAGAGGTTCTCAACATTAAATTGCTTAAAAGTCTCTTCACAGATGTATGTCTTTTAATGCTGTATGAGATTTCTCATTCATTTAGAATTCATAAAAGACACCATTACAATAATTCTAGCAATTTCTAACAGAATTATTGCATTATTTTTCATTGCTAAAACTTTTTCATTAGTTAGTAAGCTCTCCACTAGTTTAAACATTCTTTTTCCTGTTACTTGATGAATGATATGAATACAGAAGGGGGATGATCCTCACATGATTTGTAATAACCCATCTTTATGTTAATGTTCAGTACTTGATAAATTAATGGCATTCCATTTGGCAGTAAGTCTTTATAATGTATTATAAAAGCTCTACTCATATTAATCAAGCATGAGTCTGTGGAATGTTTTTATCACATGTCAGAGCACTGGGAGACATTCAATCAACCTTCTTAAAAGTATATAACTGAACACCAACTTGCTGATCAATCCCAATTTTTTTGCCATTGACAACCATCACAACAGGACTGTCAACACGTATGGAATTAAAAGCATACTCCTGTGAGATAAAACAAAAACAGTAAATAATTAAGCAAACAAGCAACAGTTTTAAGTCAATATATTTAAGTCAATACTTGCCGTATCTCCATTCTTTAATCTCACATGTGAAACATATGGTTCAGGGATAGCTACTGAATCACCAATAATGACACCTTTACCCTGAGCCAAATTGTACACTGTTACTGCTATGCACTTTTCTTGTTTATCAACCATACAAAATGTACTGGAAAACAAATTAAAACATTTCAAAAGTGTATGAAGAAATCTAGCACACTATAAAACCATGATAAAAAAAGGGAAAATAAGCTTATTCAACAATAATGAATTTTCAATCTACTGAAAATTAAGCAAATAATGTTTGATCAAAACTGATTTACTGCCAATGACTCAATAAATAACTTACAAAGATAGAATTAGTAAATACTTACAAAGGTACATTATTTTCATCTTGGAAACTACACACTACTTTTCCAAGCACCACTTTCTCAACATTCAGTCCACGCTGAAGGTTATCCAAAGGAATCGGTTCCAGTTTGACAGATAGTCCCTTTGGAGATGTGTAACTTCCTCCCCCATAGGGGCCCAACTGTTTGGTATCCAATGACTGCAAAGAATTTTTAAAACGGTAAGTTTATTATCATGGTATTGAAACACTACAAATATCCTTTAAATACTAAATACTTTACAACACACAGTCATGAAGAATTGTCAATGATTCCTCCCCTGAATTCACATTTTTCCTTTTATAAATTACCATATTTTACAAAACTGTGAGATTTGTACTTATCAAGTAGCTTAAAAAAGAAAAGAGAAATAACAATACTAAATTACTATTTGTATATCAATAACAATTTTAATGATATCTAAAATGCAACAACAAGAAACCAAAAATATTTATTTTCTCTCAAAAATATTTAAAGAGTAAATAAAAAATATTTATAAGAGAAGAAAATACAATAATGAAACAAAAAAAGATCTCTTATTTCATACTTGTATCATTTGATGTAGTTTCTTTGCTTTAACTTTCCCTTTGTTTTTAATTAAATCTTGAACATGATCCAAATACTTGAGTAACTCAGCTTGCTTCTGTTTAGGCACCTCCCATGTTGGGTCCAAAGATATTGCTTTCTTAAATGATTCTAGAGCTAGTTCATATTCTTCTTCATATTTTAAGGCCTGATAAACAGAATAACAAATATGTAGTATAAAAACAATTGTATAAAACAATATTTCTTATGTAAAAAAATCAGAGTCAAGGGCAGAGAAAAAATCATCTTCCCAGTGACAAATTTATTTTCAATTTATTACTAATTTAAAGACATATCTAAATGTAACAGTATCTGGTAAGATGTTCAGTGGTTGAAAAGAAGAAACTGTTTTATTCCAAGAGTATAGAGTACCAGAAACCCTGTCCAGAAAATGGGCTGCAACTCTAATAGTACAAACATGTGAATGTTCCACACCTTTTTAAATCATTGTTTTAAAGATGAAAATAGTTTCGCTTCTCAATCCAGCTTCTACCATTTCTGGTAACCTAAACTATTCCAAAGGAACATTCCGAACACATAACAAAAAGTCCAAAAAATCTCATTTTGTAGATTATGGCCTATGAACATAAATTGAGGCCTTGCAGGTCATGAAAAACCTAGTTCTATGGCCTTAGGATGCACTGTTTCCGAGTTGTACACAATGGCGAGGTGTGTTGCAGTCTAATATGTTAGTGGATAGCATGTACACCTGATTTCCCATCTATACAGTTCTAGAAATTTCTCTTATTTATTTGTTTATATCATAGAGAAATTGTACTTTTGGGAGTATTTGTTTACGTAATTATAAAATATCATTTCATCATTAACGCTACTAATACATGTAATCAGATTGCACTCTACAAATACAATGAGCTGATTGTTATAGGTGTATTGTTCCATCTTTCTGTAACTGTGTGAAGGAAACAAAAAGATGCATGGTCCATGAGGGAGGTATTTTTTTTCCTCTTTGCCTTTCTTGCATACTGAAATGATGCCATAATGAGAATCCCCTACAGACCTTTAGGTCTAGATCTTCGATTATGACAATTAAAATCTGGTGATTCATTACATTTCCAAAATTTTGAAGAAAACATCTTTCTTCAATACTGCAGTTGTAGGAACGTGCAAAAATGCAAACACCTTTTGTAATTTTCTCAAATTTAGAGTTAACAATGAAAATCACATCTATGCCATCTTTATAAGTGTCTTTCACACTATTTGGTGCATTTTTTAAAACATTTTGAAAATGTCGCTGGACCTGCAAGTAAAGTACTTCCAAAATATAAAGAATGTTTCTGAATTGGGCCATATCACTCATGAAATATTCATGTTGGGAAAAATCCTATGAAGAGAGTAGCTGTTAGTATTTTTCACTGACAGACGTTTTGGAAGAAATAAACAACAACAACTTTTTCTGTATCAGGGGAACTCGAAATGTGATTTTCCGTAGACATCTAGAACTCGATTTTCCGCAGAATTTCATTACTATCTCTGTACATTGAACACACATATACATGTACATATACATATATGTATGCATATGAAAGAATAAGTGGCTGTTTCGAGGCTAAGAAACATACAAACAATATTGTCCTTTTCTCTCAAACAAAGTGGTAAAGTCAATTTTCCAGCAGAAAAGAAGTTTGGGAGCACGGACTTGTTGCTGAGCATTTCCCTTTGAGAGTTGCTCAGACAATGACACAATTGGAAGGTTCACTTTGCAGGAAGAAAAATAAAATCTCACGAAAAGACAAAACATGTTAAAATTACTTTGACACGTCTAGCAGCAAGGGATGAGGAAGACCAGGGCTTTACACCATCCTTAACCACCCTTAAATTGAAAGTAGCAGCATGCCACTCTGCCATGCACTCAGAATGTGGAGCGTTTTCGATATGCTGATAAATCGGTGGTTGGGACAATGGGCATGTCAATAACAGACGTAATTGATCAACGTAGACAATAGTAAGGAAAGGGTAGCTTCCATACAATTTTCTAATATGGTCTTCAGCATAGCGGTTGTGAGTCAAGAGATGCAAAGGGCGTGAATAGCCGTGCTCGATTTCGTAGCTATGGCAAACTGCAGTTCCCAGAATTGTGGATCACCCGGTTAGTGGTGTCCTTGTCAGATTGCATAATAGCATTCCTTTGACAAGTAGACGGGAAGAATCCCAAAGAGGGCTGTGGGCGTTTATATCACCAATCAAGAAGGGTGTGGGCAGTTGGTTTATTAGGCCTAGGAAGTCTTCGACCGACACTGTTTGTCTTGTGTGTCCATGTAAATGTTACATAGAGTGAGCGTGAAGAATGGGAACACACCTGCACACACTGTTTGAAGGTCGGTTGAAATTCATTTGCAGAAAAAGGGAATTCATGAACCAAGGTAGCAACTCCATCATAAGCACAGAGGCCGTCACCGATATCAACCCTTCACGGGGTATACTCACAAAAGGATAGGAGGCGTAGTGGAACAGATTGTGTCTCCTATAAACAGATTATTAAAGCCATATAGCGGGGCAACACGAGTTTTAGTTCGACCCGCCGGGAGAAAATCCCATTAAGATTCCAGGATAAAAAAGCCATAGTAAGGAGGTTAAAAGGTAATTCAGAGGACTTTTTCTTTTTCCTTTTCCGCTGCTGCTGCTGCCAGATGGGGCGAGTGTACACTCTGGCTGAAGTTTCCTCCGATGCAGGCTCCTCCTCGGCACAGCTCCACAGGCTAAGCGGCGATCGCTCAGAACAGAACGAGTATCGGGAGTCGAAGTAGGCGGTCGGAGCTTCGGTCGGAAGATCGGTCATTTTGAACAGTGTCCGGGGGCGGATAGCCGACTGACATCAAAGTTCACGTGGGACTAAGGACAAGAGGATGCTTGTTTCGTCTTCAACGTCTAAGTAGCTTTCTTGGGCTTTTATTTATTTATTTTAATTTGGAGAAAACAATTATTTTCCCGCCTTGCAGAGGCTATGTCTCCACAGGGACACCCAGAAGGCAACAGAAGTGAGCAACGGGGGGGGGGGGGAGCAGGTAAAGTACCTCTCGCTGTTCTTTTCAATGTGTTGGTTTACTGAGGTATGAGCGTGTGAGATCCACTGGGTTCTTCGCGAGGTATCGACGTTTCTCCTTATGAAAGGACACTTCGCTCGGACCTTTTGAATCTCTCTCTCCCTCAGAAAGGTAGGGCACGTGTTAGAATTGGTCGCTTGGTCTCCTTCACAATTGACGCAGCGAAGTGGTATTGCATGGGGATCTGGATCGTGTATGGATTTGCCGCACTATGCGCAAAAGGTGCTTTCTGCCGTGCACCGTTATTGCGTTTGGCCAAACCTCTTACACTTGAAGCTGCGCAAAGGATTCGGCACATACTGCCGCAAGCGAAGATTATAAATCCCACAACTAGTCCTCTCTCAGAGAGATGGGAGATTGAAATTCATGATGCCAGAAGGGGGTGGGAACTGCTCTCCAAAGCTCTTCCTCTTGATTCTGAATACATCAGTGACACCCTGGCTCTTAAAAAAAGACAGAATGTTCTCTTCAGTTTCGGATGCGACATCTTCGGGGTTCTCTGCACTGTTGGTGGCACGAGTTCGCCACTAAGAGCCATAGCAGCGCGATTTCGCTGTTCATGTGAATACCTCCACTTAAACCACTGCATTGTCAGCTGACGCGCCTCTCAGAAAAGCTCAGTGGTGTCGTGTGAAGCGGTCCTAAGACAATATGTTGAAGAGTGTAAGCAAGTTTGAAAACCAATTCCTGCATGATACCTTCCAGACATTATGCATTATTATGCCTGAAATAATCTGTATGTATCTTTTTATCAAAAACTTTATCTTGTAAAATCTAAAATGTATAAGCCCAACACCAAATTCGCCAGCCTATTATCCCTTTATTCGTTTTTGCTACGTCTCTACAACGACATTTAGAGTACTGAAGTCTGCCAGAGACATTGCGAGGGTCCATAATGGATCGGAGAGAGTTCTTCACGGTGATCAGCTAAATCGTGACCGCCTCGGGATAAGAGTGTGACCCTCGGTTGGAGCACGTCTCCATGTGAGCCCCGAGCACGCAATCATCGGTCGGAAGCTAACTCGCAGAGCTGCTCAAGTGGCCAGAGTCTCGACTGGTTCGGCTTAGATTGTTGAATTCTGCTCGCGTCACATCTCCGAAGATTAGGCCCTACGCTTTTCTACGTGTGGAGCGCAGAAATGATAAATTGATACGCGACTGTGGGCGAGGGCTTTTTTGAATTTTCTGCGAAGTGCATGCGTTCAGGCAGAATTTACATTAATTATAATGATAATAGCAATCAATTATTTCATAAGTGATACAAAATGCATGCGTTTTAGTTTATCCCTCTTCAAACTTAGCAACATCATATCCAATACGGTGTTCAGAGATTTATTGCAAAATTATGGCCGAATAATACCAGAAGAATGAGCGTCATTTTTGAGTGCGTAAAAGACAACACTAAGAAAAATATTCTGACTTCCTTCCGCGACGCATGCCCAAGCGGCGGGCACTGTTACACGCACCCGAAACAAAGAGGAAAAAAATAAGTCAATAGCTTCCAAATTCTATACAGCGTTCTTTAAAGTATATTAACTTCCAATCTCGTTTTATGGCTCCACAAATATGTTCAAAGCGGACCACCAGTGAATAAAGAAATCAATCACAGCAGTGCGGCTGTGCTATGGGCCGTTAAGACTGATGGTACACGGTTCAATTTTGCCAACTGCAATGAAATAATTAAATTGTAGGAAGCGAGGTTTTTAAGTAGGGATTTCAAGATTTAATATTATTTAAATTAAAAGAATTTCGAATAAAAATTTGTAGAGCTATGGCCATTTGAAAAGTGTGTATTTTTATGGTTTTAATGTAAAATTAGCCATATTCGGAGTCAAGTTATGTTTCATAAAATTGTTACCGAATAACGTTAGCAAAAATAACTCCAGCAAAAATCCGTTGAAAAAAGTACCATTAAATAGTTAATCATTATTTTCTAAAAAGTATCAAAACGGTCGAAAAGAGGGATGTTTATGGGGTTAGTGGCACTCCTAAACCTATTTTAAAAACTGTTTTATTGATGCCCATGTTGTTCTTGCATCGAAAATGAACTTTTTTTCGCTAAGCCATAAAATGTCGTTTTTTTAGTTGTTTTTTTTTTTAATGCGGCATAATGCAGGGTGAACTTGGATGTAGTGAACTCTTGGTAAGAGTGAACTTAGCACCCGTTTCACTTACATAACAAATAAGCACCAGATGATTTGATAACAGTGAACTCGGAGCCTCATAAGTGAAATTACAACGTCCTGAAATTAATTTCTTTTCTGGAAAAGAATACGAGCATATCGCCTCTGTGGCACAAAGGCAGCTCGGATAAATACACTCGGCCAAAGCTCATAATCGAAGAAGTCTCCCCCGAGGGGGAGGTAGCGGGGACCTCGCTGATGACCTTGTGCTGCTCAGTGTCACTGCGGAAATAAAGGCCGTGTCCTGCGTGGGCTTCAACTGGCGGCGGTGCGCGAGTGCTTGCTTCAGTTTCAAGTTTGACGTTACTTAAGATTCAGCGCGAGAAAGAGCGTGGTATTCTACGTACGCGACAGGAAACGAGCGACAGCCACAACCCAAAGCCACCTGCATTATATAAGATTCCGCCTCAGAATGAGAGTTCGCTAAACAAGTGAACATCGCATGAAATTCGGAGAAGTATCTCTCCGCCGCGACTGCTGATCAGGCGCGCCTCTTCGTACAGTGTTTATGTTTTTACATGGCTCCCGTTCCCTCTCATTGTTTACAGCCGTGTATCTATATAAAAAATAAATTGATAAAACGCAAAGCACGGAACGTTTTCAATTACAGCTCGCCCCCCTTATCGCACAGGAGCAGGAAACTCGTGTTCCAGTAGGCGTCCGACATTGAACACTGTTTTCAAATAAACATAATACTTATCACACAAAAAGTAAATTCAATGTCAAGTTTATACACGAAAGAATTTTACAGAAGGGCACAGTAGCACTGCACTTCTTAATTTCAATTATTTCTCGTGGCAAAGTAGGTATTTTCGTCGGACAAGTACACCAAGAAAGGAAACGTTGAAGACATTTACAAGTTAGCCAACTGCAAACGAACGAATGAAGAAGGAGAGTGAAATGAACTGAAGGATATAATGACCACAGAACCTTCAGTTATGATGCCAGCACTAGCTATCAAAACGATTCATTCTTATAAAAATCATTCTATACAAGTGGTATTTCACAGCCCCACAACCTGGCGACACCCGCCACGCCGTGCAGAAAAGCGATCGGTTTCAAGGGCTGCTTGGACCAAGGGAGGATTATAGGAGGTTTATGATTGGTAATATCATTCAAACTTTTGAGTGACGAAAACACAAAAATCAGTGTTCAACAAGTAATTTTTACTGATGGAGCTTGGAGAAATGTAAAAACTATAAAAATTCATTTTTTCCCCTGGAATGCTTGATTGACCACTGAATGTGAAGAATTTGAGGAAAACAAAGTCATTGAGAAAATTGCATCAACTCATAAAAGGCAATTGTGTCGAGACTGAAGATTTCATTTACATGGACTGCAATATGTGAAATCCCATCTATCAAAGCCATCGTGAATGCAGTGAAAGGATCTTCCAGGGCTGAAGAGAAGAAAGTATCATGAAGACACAAATGAAGGGGTTCCAACAATGCAAGAAGCATTGATGGAACTCAAGACCGCATTACAATACTTAGAAACAGTGGACAACGCAGAATCAAGTATGGAGAGAGCACGAACTCTAGAAAAGAATCTAGAGAAATTATTAATGAAAAATGTATTCAGCAAACAACTATAATAATTGAAAATAATTTTTACAGTGAAATAAAGATATTGAAATGTTCAGTTAATTTCATTCATTTAATTCATTTATTTCGACATCATCAAATATAGTGAGCCTCTGATATAGTAAACTAAAAATGTTAGTTCCCAAAAGTTACTTATAACTGAATTCAACTGTATACAGTATATTAAAATCAGCATCAGCTAACAAATTTCCTTAATTAAATGTTACTAATATGTGATTTAATAAATCACCTATATTCAATTTATGTTACAATACTTACAACTGCTTTATTATAATGCAGATCTGGATTACCCTGAGCTACGGGATCTTTTTCCTGAAAAATCAATTTACAAAATATTCAAACTTTTAAATAAAAATTAATTTATGTAACACACAGAAACAAATGAAGGAAGTTCCATTATTCAATATTTAAATGTACTTACAGCCTGTAAATAAGCAGACATACATAATTTAAGAATTTTGGGATTTTGTGCTACAGAAAAAAATGAGGAAAGGTAAGCATTTCCCAATACAGCCCATGATACTCCATCGTTTGTATCTAATTGTACAGCTTCTTTTGCACAACTAACACCTTCCTCAATGTTATTAACATGATCTTTAAAAGATTTTGTTTTTACTTGTCTTAAAACAATAGACAAGTTTCTTAAAGAAACTTTATTTTTTGCCTGCAAATTAATACAAATTAATTTTAAGACTGACGAAATCCAACTGTGGAACACACTCAATTCATTATTTCATCATTATCACAAACATGTCTAGCATAAAATAGAACAAGTTGAAATGAAATGAGCTTAGAAGTAAGATATTCCATAAAGCAGTTTGTAAAAATACCAGCAACTGAAAGCCTTGCCTGCTGGAGTGCAGAGATATTATGCAAGTAATGATAAAATTAAAATTTTGTACAATACAGAATCAACAATGCCAACATTATAATTCAACTCTTTAAATTACAAAGATGGCCAAGTTATTCTACTAGACATTAAGAGAAAGAAAAATCAAAATTTTGATCAATAATACAACATTTTTAACAATCCTTTACCGTTAGGTAACATTTAGTATACAGTCTGGCCTACTGAAAATTAGCTTTGGACTCTTTACTTTTAAGACCATCTCAAATTGGAAAGTTCTTTCCAAATTACTAGCAAGTGTGCAAGTTCTTTCCAACTTTATTGTTTTCTTTTTTTTTTTAGATCTTTTTGTCCTTGAATCATGACAGTGTTATTTCACAACCAAGAGAAAACAGATCTTGAATATTTCTAACTTTTATTTTAATACACAATAGGGCATGATATATAAGCATTTTATCCAAATAATTCAAGTTTTTGATTCTGCCATTAGTTCAACATTAGTTTGGTTATTGGCCTGGTATCCTTGGACTTAAGACGTAACACCCCAAACTATTACTGTTGACTGTGTGTTGTGTTAAACACCGAGGATGAAACTTATCCAGCACATATTTTGACTTATGTATTAAAGTACTTTGAAACAGAGTCATCACTGGAGCATATTTTCAAGGTAATACGTGCACAAAAATTATTTTAAATCAATTCTACGAAGAATATACCTGATGAAACTTTTAACTAAATATACCTATTTTATTTCAACTCACTAAAAATAAAGAAATCACTTGAACATTTTAGGTTGAAGGTGTTAAATGATATGTATTCAAAAGCACCCTGTCTTCTGGAGACCAGTATCAGAGAAGCATTTGCTCAATCAAATAACCGTCTTGCCATTTCAAAAGTTTTTCATAAAATGTTCATCTGTATCTTCTAGAAGATACAGCAACACTTGGCTTCATGTAAACCATTTCTCAATACGCTGTTGACCTTTGTAATTTTAACCCATTTTTTGGTTCCTTTCAAATACTGAGTCATTTGCCCTTTTCTTCTACACACACCCATTCCTTGACACTAAGGAATTTCTTGATTCTACTCATAAATATCAAAAATATTTAGTATCTATGAGGGTATGCCCATGTGAGTGTAGGAGTTATCTTCCCCAAGTATCTTTGATGCCCATTTTTACAGGGTGACAAATTACTTTTCCTCTTTATCACCTCACTTTTGTAACGTCAAGAAGCAATTCAGAAACAATTAAAAGTATATGTCTAGTGGTTCTTGAGTTAAGGTCAATGAAAGAAAACCAACACTTTACATTGCTGACATTTCAGCCACTTATTCGGCCTTCATCAGGGCTACAGTGTAGATAAAAATTTTGTATTTACAGGAATATGTACTGACCATCTCATTCATAGAAAAAAAACAAAATTTTTTGTTGGCTTACTTAATTTATAACCTTACAGGTAAACCATTTAAATGTAAACAAGAATTTTCTTTTTTTCTATGAATGAAATGGTCACTGTATATAAAAAATTGTTATCTATTTTGTAGCCCTGATAAAAGCTGAATAAATAGCTAAAACATCAGCAATGTAAAGTGATGGGGTAGTAAATGCTTTTACTAGAAAAACAATTAGTAAATCGTTGAAAATTTGTGAATAATGTAGAGAAGATTCTACATGCTACACAACAAAAGAAAGTGAGTCTGGCAAATGCTGAATTTTCCAGCAATTGCTTCACATGATGTAAATAAAACGAAGCTTATTCTTTTACACAATAGTAAATGCTTAAAATTTTTTCAGTACCCTCAGTACAAGTGCCAATTATATTCACGAGAATGACTGCATACATGCAAATAAAAGATGCAAAACAATATTGTAAGCACAATGTGATTATCATTCATTATTTAGATTTAATGAGGAAAATGTCGAGTGGGTGGCAAAACATTTTCTTGGCAAGCTGAAATGAGGGAATGTGATCTAACATCAAAACAAAGAATGGAGATTTTTCTAAGATTTGTGAGTGATACTGGTTATCAACTGAGTATTGTCAAGGATATCGGGGTTCACCGGACAATATAATTAGCTCATTGAAACTACACACTGAAAGAAAACCACTTCAAATTTTGTAAAAACTTCCAAGAAAGAACACTTTTAGAAATAAATACATATTTGTATATCATAAATAATAACATCATCTTTGAATATTAAATAAAATGGATGACATTCTGGCGGCTAAAGAAAAATATTTTATCCTATTACTTTGGCTGACTCATCCAGAAGAATGAATGAAATAATCCACAGTCTCTGTGGTTCAAACCAAAGCAAATTTGGAGTGTTATGAATATCCCCTCTCCCCCTGTAACATGTGCTAGAATCCTCCAAAGTAATTATGTAATTCTTGCAATAACAACCCCTAATTTTAAAAAGGAAAAATAAATTATTTAACACTAAAAACAAATTGTATTAACTTTACTTGTGTTGTATATTAATAATAAGACAAGGGGTAATTTTGAGTGAAGGAAGGATGGATGATGGATGGGAAAAAAATCTCTGACAAGATGTGCACATGCCATGATGAAGAATGTAAGGGTAAGAGTATTCTTAGTGCGAATTAAATTAGATTCTAGAATATACTGCATATCAGTTTTTAATATTTTCTTTGTAATCTAAGTATTCAATCAATATATCAGTGGTGAAAAACCATTTCCTTTTATTGTAACGATTTATATATCATAACATTTTAATTTATTTATATTTTTAATTTAATATGTTAATATCTTAATGTTTAAGTATAAAACTGAACGGAAATAATAATTTCATAAAAACTTGAAAATTTCAAAATAATAAATATTAGGATTACAGAAAACCAAACTAACAATGTAACACAGCATAACTCTGTCTCAAATCCTCTCCTCCCTCTTTAGCAAATTTCATTATATAATTTACACGCGACCCCTTACTTCTAAGAGTATTAGCTTTCTTTAGAATTTAGGCCTGCTAGTGGTTATTTTTACAGCATGATATATTAGCATTTCAGGTTCCTGCACGACATTACTTAGTTCAAACCCTTAGGAACCCTCTGTCTACTCATACTCACTAACAGCTTTTTGTTTTCAATTGCTTATTTCTTTCTTGTGCGATCTCTTTGCTTCTTGGCTTTTCTATCCTGTCTCAGGAATGCCTTTAACTACTTTATGAAACACTTATTAATGTTTGAGATTTGTTTGCCCATTGTTAATGCCCTGTTGCATCAAATGTGGATAACACAAAAATTCATACACAACAAAGAGCACCTCATATTCTAATTTCACTTGCAAAAAATATTCAGAAACAAGATGAATTTGTAGCAACATTTAGCACAAAATTCAGATATGAATGAATTTGAATCTTGGACAATTAGCAACAAAAAACTTACAGCAAAAGATTAATTACCCCAGTTTCTATTTTTTTAGCAAAAAAATAAAATAAAAGGAAAGCTTGTACAGTTTTTTTCTTTGAATATTCATTTGTTAATAAGAGTGACCCTATCTTTATCAATGTGTTCCCATTTACATATTTTGTTTTCAAAAGAAAAATGTGTATTTACCTTATGAAAACTCTGTGGGCAGAATCTACGGGCAAGTGCTGGTGTAAAATTTTTTTACGGGTGCCACAAAGTGATAAATGAATGCTTGCTTCATGCACTTAAAACTTTTTAAACATTTCACAATATTTTGTGTAATATTTATTACACAATAATATACTTACATGTTTCAGAGCCCCAGCAAAACAATTTCTAGCACCATCAATATCATCCTTTTTCCAATAACATTCTCCAAGCTCATTCCATGCATCAACAAGTTTTGGATCAAGTTTGACAGCTTTGGACAAAACATCTTCAGCTTGAATATTGTAGTTAGGAGTCACATTCAGAGCTCTTCCCTTCAAATAATAATACATGGCCCTATTGGTTTTACAACCTGTTTCTAGCAAATGATACAAACATGAAGCAAAATTATTTACATAATTTCAATCCACATGAAGGAAACATGAAACATAAATATTAAAAAATTAAAATACCTACCTTTCAAATCATCAAAAATGTTCAATGTGTTTTTCAATTCATTTTCAACATCTGTATGTTTATGTTTGGCACTATCAAGGGAATGCTTTTCAAAATAATGATCTCTATACACATACAATGATTTAACCTTTTCCTAAAACAAAGTAATAAGTATCGGCATAAGATAATAATAGATTAAATGTATTATTCCTCAACATTGCAATAGTATCACCTACGGTCAATACGTCTATTGCATTTGGCGCACTTAAAATAGTTTCTTCACACTTTGGAACACTTGTGTCTGTTGACATTTTGAGATTCGTTTGTAACTATTTATTAATTCAAAACAAAAAGAAATCGATGTCTTTCATTCACTTATAATTTCCCATGAGAACATTTATTCTCAAGAAATGTCCTCATACATGCGAAATAAATAAATTATTCTGACAGGGGCTGATATATTGCGACAACTATCAGCCTGCTCTCGAGCCCAAAAGACCAAGATATTTCGTTTATGTGCCATGAAAGTTGTCTTAAGTCTACACTTTTAATTCATTATGCAATGGTTTTCGAACACTGAAGTTGTACACACGATATTTTAATGGTAATGTTCGGTTTTTCTAATAATTTAGTTGGTTTCCACCCTCCGTACACCTCGTCTTCACATTCTGCCGATTCCCAAACCTGCGCTGCCCCCGCACGTCCCACACACGTCTTTGTCTCATTTTTCAACACGTTGGTGAACCTGCAATACACGTGTATTAGGTTTCGTGCATTGGCAGCAATTGCTCGTTACCATGGTTATTGTGGAAAGCGTTCTTGTAATTGGGATAAGACCTTATAACCTACTACCTTAGAGACATATTTTTTTATTTTTTCTTATTTAAGTGATCTGGCATTTCCCAAATGATAGAAAACCATAAATAGTGCTCTACATATTTTAAATTTTGCGATATTGAATTGTGGAAAGTTTATTTGGTGGGCGACATTGTCGAGGCAAAAAGTAAAGAGCAAGTGAATTTAATTTCCACAATTAACCAAATATTGAAATGTTCTTGATGTTCCAGATATGGACGAAGAAGATTTAATTTTTTATAACTTGGAGAAGGCTTGTAAATCTGTTCTGATTGAGAATGAGAACCAAACGAATATAATTGATGTTTCAGAAAATCACTCCTACTTTGACAAAAAACATAAATGTGAATATTACATTTCGGAACATTTAGAATCTCGGCAAAATGTTGGTGCCAAAGAGTTGCAAAATGAATATGAAGATATGAATTATCATGCAAAGCCTATAATAGATATTACTACAACTAAAACAGATAATGTTTTTTTCAAAACCGATAGAAGTGAAATTTCGAAAATTAACAACACAGCAAAAAAGATGAACTCCAGTCAAGTGAAAAATTGTTTTTCAACAGTTTTAAATGACTGCAGGTAAGAAAATTCATTTTAATTTATCTTTGGTTCATGGTAATGCTTTTATCGAGATTTATTGAATTTTGAAAATTGATATGAATAAAAGTTGGGTCCAAGCCAACATTTTTTTCACTTTCTAAAGCATTATTATTATTAAAGTGAATATAGCTTTATACTGGAACCAAATTTAAAATGGCCATGCCTGTGCACTGTACCATTCTGTGCATGGATTAAAGCTAATATAATTGAATTTGCAACATTCAGTCAGTCGGTCTGTCTCTCCACTGTATTGTAGATTTATCTGTGTCTTTGAATCATGGATTTACCAACAGAACAGTGACAAGGGGTTTGATCATGTCGAAACAAAATTATAAAAATTGTACATTTTCAATATTTTAGAGAATTGAATATTAGGAAAAAATCTAAATATTTTAATGGTAATAATGGAGGAAGAAGAACAAAAAAAAAGCTGTTAAATGGCCATATAAAAAAAGAGAAGCATGCAAATGATTTACCAATATTTGTGCATCAAATTGAGAGCCTGCCAATGTTCATGGTGACCCATCTGGCCGTTTTGTGATTTATTTTGTACCGCAATTAGCACTCCAGTCATCACTGTATTTGTAGAATCTCAGCTGTTCTCAACCTTGCACAGTGAATCACACAAATACAACTTAAAATGAAATTGATAGGGAAATGGTGTATTGTGTTCGAGTGCTTTTACTCTGTTAGGGTTTTTAGGTATTTTTAGTTGTCATGCACTGTGAAGAAAAACGAAATTAACGTAGTTCAGTTGAAATAAAAACTATTCACATTTGTTTAAAGAGACACTTTTGTTTGATAGAAAATGTTTGTTTTTGATCGTGAAATGAAGAATTTTTCTGACAATTTGTTTGCTAACATGGATAGAAATATTTTTTAATACTTTGGATTTAAAAATAATAAATTGATTGTTTTAAATAGAATTGCAACATTTTAATACTGATCTCCATGAAAATTAGAAAAGTTTTGAGAAAAGAAAGTTTTGATTATGTATTTATAGAAATTTTCTGTTTAACTAAATTAATATGCATGTTCCCAGCTCCAAAAGTATTGGTAAAAATCAGTTTTTCTGATTTGAAAATAGTTATAAAAGATAAACACAAGGAGAAGAGAGAATATGCAGCTTATTCATTGTATTAATTGAGAAAGAATGAAATCTCCTTTAAACTCATAGGAGAGAATCATTCAAAACTTTGCCACCGCAACAGGATGGTCTAACTGTACATATTTAGTTATGTAGGATGTTTAGGAGTATTACACATATTTCTCTTATACACTCACAGCTTCTTAACCGTTTCCAAACTCCAAAATATTATTTTAGAAGATAAATTATATACAATTTTATGAATTTAACTTTATGGGCAGATCCAGATCATTCATGTTTGTTGTACGAATGAGTAGAATTGTCTAGCATTTCTCTATTCTTATTTGCTTTGTACTTTAAAGTTCAACAATGTCTTATTGAAGTCTAGCAGAGCAGTAGCAAAGGTCTCCAATCTTTCAGAGACGGTTCCCAGCACTGATTAGCTGATGTGTTACAGAAAGATAATGATAGTGTAACCCCTGCTTCAATATGTGGGTGTTGGGGGTAGGCAACTTTCCATTTTGTGACTCTCAGCCCGTGTTTTACAACACATCTCGACATGTAGCTAGCGAATTTGGCCTTTCAATGCCTGGAATGCTGAACTGGTAGTGCCTGCTCAGTTGACTGGAAGTCTATTTGGAATTGTTTGGGGGGAAGGGGCGCACTTTCTTGTAGAACAAGCAATAATTATTATCGTTATGATTATAATCATAGGGAATAATAACCAAATACAAAAGGAATCTTAAAATAAATATTTCATTTCACATTGGATTGGATAAAATTTCCATGTTGCCGTAATATCAACATTTCTAAGCATTTCAATATTGCCTGACAGGAGATTTAATTTTATAATATAAAAAAATATCAGAAAAATGAACACATTTCTAAGTATTTATAAAACAGAGCATCCTGTAATATTATAACACCCTCATACATCAGGAAAATAGACCCATACACTGTGTGGACCTAGCGATGACCCAGCAAAAATGCCATGACCCACTACTGCTAAATAACCATCTCTCTTAATGTCACCTCTTGGCTTTCTAAACTAAACTTCAGCATTTCAGTGATTAGCACACTTAATAATAAGATCCATATTGTAACTGGTATGTAAATGATTACTTTCTTTCTGTTTATTAACAATGTTCTGTAAATAATTTGAAAATAGGAATTCAAAGCTCTTTGTAATAGTCAGAAATTTGCTGTATCCTACAATTCAATAGTAAGCAGCAACAAGTTTCAAAACATACATCTATAAGTGGGTTTGAGATATACAATTAACAAGCTTTCACCTTGGTCTTTATCCTCCTGGACATATTTGTTATTTCTGTTTATAATAGTCACTTTCACAAGGTGTATCATCACATTTTGTAGAAATATTTTATTTTTGTTTGTGCAGTAAACCAAAGCCTGTAACAACACTTAAAATCTCAATTTCCCACTTTTTATAAGTTCAAATATCTGCTTCAGCAATATTTATATTAAATTTGTTCTTTGGATACCAAAGAATCTTTAGACAAGAAATTACCATCAAGAAAACTTGCATAAGCGACATCTTCCAAAGGTTGTACTGAATCTTTTGACAGACAAAATATTATTGCAATTGATATTTCTAAAAATTTTTAGACACTACACAGTCATTTAAATGAACTATCAAATGTAATAACTATCAATAATATAAGTAAACAAAATTGTATGGAACTATATTTTTCCCCATTCCCAATCCTTACCAATTTACTTCTTCATAAAACAATTACTATTTATACTTTTGGATCACATGTTCTTTCTTTTCAGGCTAACAAAGGATCAACTAGAAACATCTTTAGCACTGTTACAAGCAGTAAAATATTGCATCAATTCTGGTAGAAGCGAGATGAGCAAGCACAGAAAAGGTAAAGTTAGGTTCAGGCTACCATGAAAAGGATGGATTTCAGAGTATTATTTGAAAGGTTTTCCTAAAATGTTCTTGAAAATAAATTGAAACTATGTCTCTGTGTATATATTTTCAAATAAAGCAACAAATTTATACATGATATTATTCATTGAAAATGTCACTAAATTTATTCACTTTCTTTCTAATTATATCTTCAACTACGTACACAAAACAATGCAGCCCATTGAAGTGAATACACAATTTGACACACATTCCCCATACCTCAGGGACATTAATGTATGACAAATGTATGAATCTATTTACATGGGAAGAGGAGTCATTCGCTGAAGTATCTGGCCTTACAACTTACACACAAAATACTCAGCAGGACTGTATAAAGAACTTGCATATTGAAGACACCTCAACATAATGTTAACATTTTCTCTTGGGTTAGGAAAAGAAAATATTGTTTTTTGATTTCAACTTTATTCTCTAATACTACTCCATCTCTGCAGAATAAAATCCTCTTACCGAGGAATCACATACCGGTTTGGGACAAAAAAGAAGAATAAACAAACAATCATTAGTACTCTATTTACAAGTAAACTAGAATGTAAAGAGACATCAGATAAAATTCATTCATTGCTTCGTTGCTGTCGAGCTTTATGCAATGTGTGACAGAAAGGTGTAAAACTTTCTGACACAACTTTCACCTACAAACTTAGGTTGAATAAATATTCTTCTGGGTGAAGGAAATGCTTTGAACTAGAGATTATTGAAGAGCAAAAAGAAATGTCACGGTACACAAACAGCTAGTTCTGAAAACATGCCAGTATTAGAGATGTTTTCAGGTATGCATGTACTAGGAACAAATCAAATTAGAAAACTTTACATTTCAATTCATTATTTCTAGAAAATTATCAATCCCTGACACATAGGAATAAGAGGAAGTATCATGCAGATGAAAGTATAGTCATAACTGATAATATATCTGTATTATATGTATATTTTTTATATCATATTTATGAACTGCATTATATAATGTACCAACTTGCCACTCAACAGTTTCTCTAGTTTATTTACGACGGACATTTTAACACTGGATTAATTAATTTCATTTTATAGAAGTAGGCCACTAGTTATACTTTTCTTTACACTGTATTCGAATGTTTGATTTAAAAGTGCATTCATGTAACAAAATTATATACTACATTAATTACCACCATGTTGTATCAACCATGATTTCCACACATTTTTTTTTTTTTCAAATTTTGGACATTGAAGTTACAATACATATTATACGAGCATCCCCTATTAGCCATTGCAATCTGCTCTATGGTACTATGGTCCAGTTAATGCAGCAAATTTTGTTTTCAAATTGGCATGTTGTAATTTTTTTATATTTTGCAGAGTACCCACTTCTCATCAGCTAGGCCTTGGGAATATCTTGACAACAAACATTAAATAATCAAATATTCTACATTTTCTAATATTTCAATGAATACACAATCATGGTTAACAAATAATGCATCCCAACAAGAACTTTTCTTGAGTACTTTTTAATATTTTAAAATGAAGCTCTCAGTCTTGGAACTGATATTGTACTTCATGATAATTACAATTTGGAAAGGATAGCAATGTATTTTTGCGGGCATTGCAATTTTGATATTTTAAAACGAGCGAACACTTTTCAAAATAGCGTCTACACATTATTGATGCAGCTTTAAAATGGGATGGGCATTTGATACACATATATCTTTTCTGAAACCCATCTGAAGGTACACTTAAGGAGACCATCTTTCAGCCAACATGAGTGGTTCTACAACCACTCATTTGAAGTATGTACATTAATACTATGTGATGAAATGTAACATTTTGGCAGTCAAAGCAGTCAGATAAATAGCATGCAAAACACATCTTGTCAAGAAGTCATTAATCCACAGCAGTTAATGTTACCTTACAGATAAAATGAGCTGGTACAACACCTTGGCAAAATAGTCTTGCATAAAAACAACATAAACAAATATAACATTTGTGTGTACATTTTGAAGAAAGGTAGCAAGTTTAAGAAACATAACATTTCAAACAATATACATATAACTACCAAGTGAGCATAAAACAATTACATAAAAAAGGAAGATACTTTTCCATTCTTTCAATTATCTTTCAGTTCATAGCACAGTAATTCAATTTAAAACAACTGAGAAATAATTTCCATAGCTCTACATTTAAGTGGCACAATAACCAGATTCCAGTCACAGTTTGTGGCACACTCAAAAGAATGTTCTTTTGTTATCTCATTTTATTATCTTATTCTACCTGAATATCACAACAATATGAAAATCTCACAGGATCCTTCACAGTACCTATTAACATTTTTCTTCACACTAGCTGGCAATGCAATAATACTTCAATAACTCATTGTGTTACATTGTGTCATGTTATGTCACATGTTGCTTTGCAGCCAATCATGTTGGCAGTCTGCTCAGCAGTTCTGCACTTGCACGATTCACTATCACGCTAGCACTGATATGGGCACCACACACACGCATGGCCTGTGCATTACAATATACAGCATGACGCAGAACAGCAGCTACTTCCACCACCCTTGCTCTTTTGCCGTTGGTCTGCAACAAGAAAAGGGAATAGAACATTACACCAGTGAAATATGCTTCAACCTGAAACTTTATGTATTTTGCCATAAAGAACACAAAAATAACGTTTCCTTTGACTTGTGTTATCATGACTTATATCTTAAAATCTTGAAATGGCTTTTGAGATTGTTTTACAATGATTAACAAATATATGAAGTTGGTGAGAAAACAAGTGTGAAATTTTGTTCACTTCTTCGGTATTATCTTCCAAAAATTATGCTGTAGAGAATCATCATAAATTTAATAAATTTCCTTTTAACACATGCAAGGAATGTACATCAAAATTGCAATGGTGCTCAATTATACCCAAAAATGAATTTAAAAATAGAACAACTTTGTAATTACAGTGGCTTATGCAGATAATATGAAACCATTGCTTGTGTTTACACAAGTACTGATGCCAAGATAAGTTTCCTGTGTTTGTAGAACATGAGAACATGGGGTCAGTTTAAAAAATGAAGCATTGGCATCAAAAGACTTCATACCAGAGAGAAAAAGCATGAAGCCTAACATCAGCAACACAAATCAACTCTTTCTCCACAATGGATATCAACATAGAATTATTCAAAAATTTTGTGAAGGATACGAGCCAAGTACACAATATATGTACTGATATGCATGTACTGAGAGTGTGTAAGTATCTATGTAGGGCATATTAATGAAAATGCAAAAGGCTTGAAATAACTTAAAGAATGTAAATATATATTTTACAGTGATAACATGTCGACTACAGTTTAAACATTGCATTTAAGAAATTGCTTCAAAAGAATAAAAAAAAGGCAAAATGTTAATAGATCCGAGAACAATAAAACCTGTGAAGATGAAGATGAACACCTTACATATAAACAGAACTAAACAAATTCCCACATTTTATTTCAGCCAAATCATGTACTCTTTTAACTCTGTTTGGGTGTTGGGAATCATACATACATATTAGTGATGCAGACTGTCACATCTTACATATATTACTTATTTAACTTGCAAGTAGCTAAAAAAGGTCATTGTGTAGAAGTTCATTGATTATATTCATGAGCATAGTAGTCACAATTACTAACAAGAACATAAATGATCTTTTAGTTGTGAGTAATATATTATGTTTTACCTTAATCTGATAATAATCTTTAACATGAAGACATATTTTCTAACTGTAAGCCTATAGGATAAACAGTATTATATGGACTTTGGCAGTTCCTTTAATACATTGTATATATTAAGGGGCCATTTTATCTACCACAGTAATCTATATTGTATTTTGAATATAAAAATAAGCTGTTTAATCAAGACTGAACATGTGAGTGCATAGATGATACTCAGGCCAGATGACAGGATACGATACTCAGGCCAAAGGCTCTCAGGTTTTTGTAGCCGCTCCATCACTAGAACCAGTTAACGCTCGTGGAACACACGTAAAAATTAAATCATGTAATTTTAATGATTCAGATTGACATATTTACTAATTAACTAGTTGTTAACTTGATTCAGTTTCTCTTTTCATAATTCCCTCCACTAGAGAACATTGCAAACCATTCAACCTTTTCATATTTCCCTTATAACCATGACCCTCTCGATCCAGGTAAGTTTTGCAGTGTACACTGAGCTTGAAGGTGATAACAGCCAATAACATATAAGGAAAAAAAAATTAACATTTTTCTGCTGGAATTTAAAAAAATTATTTATTATGTGCTTTGAATGTAAAAGTACCTTCAAACCTAAAATTTGTATAGAACTTTATTTACAGTACTTTCATGCGCATTTCTGCAGTATTTTGATATATTTCTTAAACAATTTTTGTTCTTCATAAGAAATATTTATCATGAATGCTAAAGTCCCACTACTTTTTTGCAGTTTTGCATCTTTTTCAACATTTGCTCTCACCTCCCTCAGGAAAGTCTTGACATGCTATCAAATTTTAAGAATTACAAATATAATACTTGTTCAAAATCTATAGTAATTCTGATAGAGATAAAAGAAGAAGAAGAAAAGAAAAAAATATTTTATAGAAAATCCAATACAATATTTAGTATCCAATGTGAAATAACTCAATCACTTTATTCATTTTTATTGGAAAATGAGTAAAGATTAAAAATTTGGAAAAGTCAAATGGCATTAAATTAAAACTTTCAAATTCAGTATACAACATTAAAAAGGCACTTGACCTAGACTGCATTCACCTTGCATCATATGCCATTCCCAAATTCATTTTATCCGCAAGTACTTCATTCAGATAGAGGTGAAATAAGGGAAAGATAATTTTGGTGTTCCTGCTTCATCATGAATAGTAATCATAGAATATTTTGTTTAGAAAAATAACGGGTGGTTAGCAGCACACACTTTTTCTTATTATTTATAAATGCCTATGGTTGCTAAACACATGCAAAACTTTTGCACATTTGAATTTGATTGCATATTTTTATGGACAGCGATGGGGCCATCTTCTGTATAAATATAATATAATATTTTTTGGGCAGTGCAGATTAGAAATGCCCGAGAAATATTGATATTTAGTTTGTGTCTGTGTTGGAATTTAACTGATAAAATGTAGGTTACTGATGGAAGAGGAAGAAAAAAAAATCCTTCAATTTTTAAAAACTGGGGAATGATTGTTTTAATGAGAATGATACTTGTGCAATAAAATTCAGTGCATTGTTCTCTGTCAGTACAAGTTAAAAGAAAAAAAAAAGTCTTTATTTGACATGAATATATGTGGAAGCTACTAATAGATTGAACATAAATGTCCATGGCACTACACATATAATACCAATTTGTTTAAAGATATATCTCATGTTAACTTTTCTATTATAGTTTTTGTTTTATAATTCAATGTATTTATGTGAACTGGTTTCAAATGATACCTCATGAAGTTTTTCTTATGCACAAAGTATTCATGTATAAATGAGCTCCAAATTACGTATTTTCAAAAACTCTCAAACAACATTTTCTCAAAAATAGTCCCAGATTGTCTCCCTAAAAATTTCCATTGGAAGGAGTTTTGCTCTTCTGTGAAAAATGTGAAAATAAATATTGCACAACACAATTTATATACTACGGGAAAGTAATATAAATTGAGAAAAAATTGTAAGTATTGTATTCTACTATAATGTATACTACAATAGACCTGAAACTGTATTAATCTGTTTAATGAAAAGAGTTTTGCACTAAACTGAAATATATATTATCATTTTACATCACCACTAATTGTTTATATTCTATTTTTTGATATTTTGTCACACACATATATGAATTGAAAGCAAAATAAGTGGCAACTGCATTAACTAATATTTTTTCAAATTTTCGAACATTAATGGCAAATGAAGATACTATTCTTAACATTCCAGTAAAGAAAACTGCCAAATAATGAATAGAAACAACTTTATCTTTTTAAAATTGTTTCAATAGATCAAGAGCAGTTAGATTGAATTGTATGATTAATGTTTGTTTATACTACCTTGTGAATTGGGTTCTGGTAAGTTTTCTCTTGGTACAAGGTGCATTACGGTTGTCTTGCCGAAAGGTAGTCCGAGAGCTCCCAATGTTACATTGCTGTGAAGGAAACGACCCTGGTAGATCAGTCGAAGAATTTCTGCCTTTGCAACTGCCTCCTCGGCCCAATCTGTAACAAACAAAGAACATATTGTATGTAGCTGATATTCTACTTCAAAGAACCTGACATGAAAAAAAAATACATATTTTGAAAACAAACTATAGTTTTATTGCTGGAGAGCTGTGAATAAAGTGAGAATTAACATTTTCTTCCTCAAAAATGTGCTACTTTCGAAAACTATTTTCGTAAGATTAGTAATGACCAATTTCTAACAGCAGATATTCGCGAAATTTTAAGATGATTAATTTCTTGGAAGGTGCCGGTTTTAGACCAATGGCAATCGGCAGGCTGATTCATGCTAGCGCGAACGATCGAAGGGACTGCAGGCGAGAGGGCGGATAAAGATCAAGAGGAAACTGGGGGGTCCCAACAGCACTTACATTCCCATATTGTAGGTATGATATAAATAATATTACAATAGTGCAAATTGTATTTTCAATTTTTTTTAGCGCATTTGCAACGCGTCTCTAAGACCCTTTGTGGGAAACTGAGCGCATGGACTAATCCTCCTCTAATCTAGTCAGAAATGGTCAGTGGTTGTCTTTTATCTCTTCGGCCAGGGGCTCAGTGCCGATAGATCCCATGATTCCCAGTCCGTCCGTCTGTCTCTACACTACGAGAGAGCAGTAAGAGTGAAATTCATCCGGGAAAGGGAGAGAGAAGGGGAGGGGTAGATATAATGAAATAGAAGGTAAGAGATCGCGCAAGATAGGAGTGAGCGCAAAAAATAATGTGTAGGCCGCGCGCGCACGAGAGCGCGGAAGGAGAGAGGAGTAGGTGAAGAGAGAAAGCCATTTGTTTCCAGCCTCCAGCCGAAGATGGCAGTGGCGTTGGTGGTAACGGTTAGAGTAACTGACTTTTACCCAAGTTCGCGAGTTCAAACCCGATCGAAGCCGGGGATGAAACATTTAAGGACGAAAAAAATCCTTCGTACGGGAAGTAAAGCCGACTGTTCCATGTAGTAAATTTACTGCATGGAAGAACATCAAACTTAAAGAAGCCTCTGAGCTTAAATCGCCTGTTCATCGCCCAAGAAATACCTTCTTTCAGCGCTAGTTGGTAAAAGAAGCGTAGCAAAATTTGCGTGGTCAGACAGAACAGGCCTCATGGCCTGAGTCTCGCCACGTAAAATAAGGCATTAATTCAATTCAAGATCATTCTTCTGTATTTCTGCCACACGGGTGGAAGGATCCTTTGCGACTCCGGTGCAATGTTATATCAAGTAGGTGACTTTCTAGTAGGAGACGGCTTATTGCGATCGGTTTGATTTGTGAACCACTGCCAAATGCACGCCGCATCTTCTCTTCACCATGATCTTGTGCTTACCTCAGACAATCGCATTATGTCCGTGCAAGTCAATGTGATGGCGTTA